GGCTTCCACTCTAAGATTCTTCATTTTTCTTATTATAGAATTGAAGAGTGTCATCCAGATTAGGACTCAATTTCCTCACTAGGTCCCTATAATTTACATTCCTATATAAAAATTGACATAAAAATCCAGATTTCACTGTTGAGAGCTAAGACTACCTCTGTAGAATAAGTGTTCATTGTAACTAGAAAAAAAATACATACCTTTAAATTGTTATATAAAACTGTGAGATCTAAGAAGGGGTTTGACAAAGGCAAAAAATGCTGAGGAATTATAGCTCACATCTGACTTGAAACCTGAAACTAACATGATTTGTCACAAGTAAGAGGTTCTTTTTCTACTGCCATGCAAAATGCAAGAATATAAAAATTCTAGAAATACAGTGACCCAGTCTACAAAATATTATGGGTTAGAGAGTGACCCCATAAAAAGAGATTTTTTTTACTGTGTTATTTTAATGATGCAAGGTTATAAGTTATTGATTTTTACAAGATATAATCAATTAACACTTTTCTCTTGTTTATCTCATGAACCAGAAGAATTTTGTGATTACTTTGGTACAGATTATTTATTCACTATGTCCATTTCTCATTAGATGATTGTTTAGAGAGAAGTTAAGGTTTCAGAATTTGGATAAGTAGCACAACTATGAAAATCCAACAATCATAAATAATTCTATCAAAATTTCCACTTCATTATGTCTGTCTCAAACTTTACATTTTCCAGTATCTGGCTGAATTTCCCCTAAGAGAAATGGCACAATTTCACTGAGGGAAATAGCAAAATGGACATCAGAGTTTGTGTTATAATAAAACTATTTTGGACTAATACAATTTTTCCACTTGGAAACTCCATACTTTAGCAAAGGTTTAACTAACCATATTTTTTCCTAGCAGTCAATATTTTCAATGCAGTTAAACACTACCCTTTAAATTAATCTCTTGTTGATTTATTGAAGACAAATTAGTTTGGTGGTAAATGTATGTCTATGAAAAATACAACAAAAACCTACTACCAATTAAGTGCAGTATGTCATACATGCATTAAAGACAATGCTAGCATAACATGATACAAGTTCTATTAGGAGAAATAAGAGCTACAATTTTATTTAACTATAGCCCAGCCCTCTCAGGCACATCTGATCAGGAAAAGTGCAACATTCTCTCTTGAAATTCAAGTACTTTTGTCTTTTTCCCCTGTTTCTTTGTGATATAACAACTTTTCTGGTTCCAGTTAAAAAGTAAAAAAAAAATAAATGTCAATAACATCATCAACAGGGAAAAATATTAAAGCCTTTTTAAAAAATGAATCAGGTGCAGATATTGAACTGTACTTTCTCATCCTTTGTCTCACTTTTCAAATGATAATTTCTTCCACAGTCACCATTAAATCTTGATCTATTCCAGCTCTCTGTATGGGTCGATCAGGAAAAGTGCAACATTCTCTCTTGAAATTCAAGTACTTTTGTCTTTTTCCCCTGTTTCTTTGTGATATAACAACTTTTCTGGTTCCAGTTAAAAAGTAAAATAAAAAATGTCAATAACATCATCAACAGGGAAAAATATTAAAGCCTTTTTAAAAAATGAATCAGGTGCAGATATTGAACTGTACTTTCTCATCCTTTGTCTCACTTTTCAAATGATAATTTCTTCCACAGTCACCATTAAATCTTGATCTATTCCAGCTCTCTGTATGGGTCATTGATTCTAGATGTACCATGGTTATTTTTAAATGTTTCCCTTTCGTAGAGAAAAAGAGGGCTGTCTAGAGCCAGATGGGTAACTTCACACTTCATTTATCAAACCCAATGCATTAGACTCCACCCTCTCTTTCCCACTATTGCTGTTAAATTTCCATATAATTTGGTAACAATTTTCATTATCATACAGTGACCCTAAAAAGTCTATCCAGGTTTGCACGGTTAGTCCAAAATTCACAGCTGTTCCCTTCACCCTCTGTTTATTACAGTAGAATCTGAGGTTCCCCTCACTTTATAAGCTGAGCAGTGACCTTCTGTAAGCAGAGGTCAAGAAGGGGTCAGTTCAAAGGGCTAGAGCAGCTCTTTAACAGCTATAACAACCTGTCCATCAGGCACTATCACGCAGTATAAACAAATCTGGGGCTCTGGAAACTCTGGACCATTTCTGTTAACACTCAGGGGACATTCATCGAGTCCTACCTGAAGTACTTTGGATCACTACCACTCAGAGAACAACTTGAATCCCTGGAAGACCTACTCAGATACTTAAGATACTGATGACATCTTTGCATCACAAGTCTATGAAATGGTGAGTGCAACACTAAGCACATTCTCATGAGTTTTGGGCTGTGAAGCTGAAATAAAATCTTAAAGAGTCATTTCAGCTCATTAATATGCAGAAACACTGGTACAACTTAAAGTAAATAACACAAGAATATGCTTTAACTGAGTAGCTACATACCAGAAGAGTTCATATGCCTTTCTCTGGGAAAGGATAAATTTCCAAAAGTTCAGTCAGTTTGTGTTACCAGGTTTTTGGTTGTTTTTGTTTTATTTCAGGTGTTAATGACACAAATAAAACACAAGCAAGAACAGAATGACTACATACCTCTACAAAGACCAAGTGCAGAGTGAAGTTTTCTGCCAGCTGCCCTCCCTTCATTGACCTAAATTTCTTGAAGTTGTACTGTTCATAATCTGCTCTCTAATGCACAATGTAAGGTAATTAGAGTCATCTGTATTTAACTTCCACAGGAAAAAAATTCTATTATCTAATCTAGCTGATCCCCTGATAGCCTGTTGAAAGTAAAGTACTGTAACCTATTGCCTGCCCTTTGACAAGTGCTAATTATTTCCTGTCCAAGCACATTTTTCTCATGTAATTCCAAAGTACACAATAGACTGATCTCTAAAACATGGGCAGCCCTGCTCGTACCACGGCGGACGTTTTATAACTTTCAGCACCGTGTGCTCCATGGCTGCCACAGCCAGTGTTTCATTCCAGACACCGAGCTGAGGCTTTGATGGAGCCAAGTGAGGTGTATGGTAACAGCCTCTTTATGCAGATCATATGGATGGGACTCCCAGATAGGTCACTAGGATGGGAAACATCAAATAGAAAGAAAAAGGATTATGGATATTTAATACTCAAAGGACACTTTCTTTCAGAACTTTCAATGCACAATGCTCTTGATATTTTCTTTCAGGTGTTTAGTTTTAAGAAGGCCTGCACTTCATCTGCTTGTGCCTCTGCCACCCCCAAGAGGTGCAGCTTTGCTGTGTCAGAGGCTGCAGCCCTGGCCCCAGCCCCAGAGCTCCCTGTGAGCAGCAAGTGGGGCCAGGCACACTGAAAGCCACAGCACTCCTAAATCACTCATTACTGCCATGACTGCTGGTGACTTTGTCTATTAGGAAGTCACTGTTAGACAAAATGAACTCTAAAAAGTGTTCCACTCATTAGAAGCTTTCTATTGTGTTTCATAATGAAGATACACATGTCCCACAGAAAAACTTTAAGTGATTTCCTGTGTTTCCAACACAGCTAAAACATTTGCATTATTTAGTAAGCATGGTGATGGAAGACAAAAAAACAAAGAAACACTCCCCCCGCATAAAAAACCAAAACAAAAAAAAAACAACTACCAAATAACCCAACCAGCTGAAAAAAAAATTTAAAAAACGCAACAAAGCCACCATAAAAATCCTTTAAATTGTTCAAGAAGAAAAAATTAAATCCCCGCATAAAAAAACAAAACAAACAAAAAAACTACGAAATAACCCAACCAGCTGAAAAAAAAAAATTTAAAAAACCCAACAAAGCCACCATAAAAATCCTTTAAATTGTTCAAGAAGAAAAAATTAAATCCCACAGAATAATACGGAAAATATTTTAGAGCCAGCTTACTCTGAAACCTTGAATGAGTAGCATACAAGCAAACATTCCATACTCACTGGAATGCAAACTTATTAAGTACAACCTGTAATTTGTAAAATAATTATGTGTAATTATGTTCAATTTTTATCTGAAGTTTCTAAAATGTTTCAGTTTCATTTGCTGTAATTATGTGAAGCAGAAAAGATACCCAAGTGTCAGACCCAAAATCTACAGATATATTTTAAAAGCAAACTCAGAGTCTTCAGGAACTACACCAGCAAGATACAAGAGATGTCCTTTTAGTTAGTGCAGGTAAAAAAATCATGCCAGTTAAACGACAAATTTAAATAACAAAAATCTGATTTAAAAATACTTTTGACTAAAAGCTGTATTTAATTGTAAGTAAGGAAGATAGCTGTATATTTGGCAGAAAAACTTCATAGACTGCTAGATATTTTATATACATATAAAATAAGAAAATAATAGATTACAACATTAGTATAAACCTATAGCTTTTAGACATTGGTGTGAAAAAAGGTGACATCAACTCACTTAGCAGGCTAAGAGAAGAACAAGGTAGAACGTGATAGAAATCCTCTTTCATTGACCTCTTTCTGAACAAACTAAAAGTACAGCGTATCTGGTGCTTCTGAAATGCATTCAGCAACACAAACCCTTCCAAACACAAACAATTTTTAAACATGTTGATAGCACCTGCTGATCCATAGCAGTGAGCTCTCTTTAAGAACTCGGGTACAGTAAAACAGCCCCACGTCATGAGCTCCAGCAGTTCACACACGTGTCCCCATCTCACCCAACACCATCCAGTTAACTCCAGCAGAACACCAGAGGGAAATGGGAGGAGCATGAGCCAAGAGGTGCAGTTTTAGCAGAGCATTCCAGCAAAAAGCATGGCTCATACTGGCAGCAATAGGTGGAAAACCGAGGGCATTTTAGGTGGCACTACTGCTCAGGTCTGAGTGCTGGCTACCAAGCTGTTATCAGTAGCCTGTATTATGTGAGAGCAGTCTACCCACAGAAACATGGACTATCCCATCCAAGGAATTACTGTCTGAACAGTGAAAATTTAAAATTTTTTTTTAAAGTCACTTTTCCCCACTCAAGGGGATTTATAGGAGTACTTCTCACCTTGCTGTCCATTCTTTACGCAGCTTTTGTCTCTCCTTAAGAAGGAGCAGGAAGCAGCTGATGGTCTCATTCCTTTGTTCCTCAATTTGTTGCTCTTTTCTAACCTCAGAGAGGACCAGACTTGTCTTAAAGGGAGGAAACACATAAAAATTATAATCTAGAAATAGGAAACAATGTGTAAAATTAATAAAAAGCCCATAAGCAAATAAGGACAGTAAATCAATAGCTTTTTTTATTACAGTTCCACTGCTGACAAATCAATACAGTAAATGATGGTTAGAAATGGCTACCATATATTTGGTATTTAATCAATATACATGGCACATAAGGTAAACCTTAAAATCTCATTGCCTTAAGTATCACACTAAGACACCGTGCATTCTAGCCCACATTTTCTTGAGGCATAGTTATTTTCTAAATATTATCTTGTATCAAATAATATCAGAAGTATTTTCCTCAATGCAGCATTTGTTTGGGGGACTTCACCCTCCCCTTTGCTCTTGATAAAGCTGTTGAAGAAAATACCTGTTTGTACTGAATCTGCTGAATAGAATTTCTCCTGATGTCCACATGCTCTCTTTATTGTTAAATATTTCAAATAAACAAGTAATAAAGTCTTTTCACATGTGGAATAAATTAAAAACTGCTCCAAAATATACATATACATATATACATATATACATGCAATGGATTTAAATAATCTGTGAAGCAGGATGACACTCAGTCTCTGCAGATCAAGTGTTACTGGCCTTCCCAAACATTGTGCTGGCAGTTAATGTTGATCTAAGAGAACTGGGGATGTTCTTATCACCCTCTATCCTCCTACCAAGCTAACTCCAGCTCCCTCGCTCCATCTTTTCCTACTCACTCCTGCACCATTTTTTCCTCTTCTTTCCCTTCACTTCCCCATGTCTGCCAAGCTGGGAAGGACATGGCTGATGCTCAGCTACCAACCAGTCCTATATATCCACCAGTACCCACGTGCTCCTCCCTGTGCAGAAGTGTCTCCATGGCAGAGACTGAGAGTCTTTTCCTTAAGTGAAGATATTATATTGCCTTCTTCACCTTAATCAGCCTCCAACAGACGTGGAATTATTTTTTATATTCTAACCTCCAGTCACATGTTCTGCAAATGTATCAAAGCATCTAAATGTTTTTGGGAAGGATGACAGAACAGATGGAATTCTTGCACAAACCTGTTTTCTTTTCACAGAAAAGAAGGCAAAAAAACCATATTTCTGACCTGGGAAGTTGTGCATGTGAGTTTGAAAAAACAACTCAACATAACCAAGAGCTGTAATTCCTATTCCCAGCATAATCTGCCTCATTGGAACAATGTGACAAAACACATCTCATTTTGCCTCCTCCTCAATGTCACAGACACATTACCTTCTGTCCTGCCCAACTAAAATTCCTCTGGGAATTCTGTGAGAGAAATTATTGTTATTATCTTCAGTTTGTGAAAACAGAGAGACCTATCCTCATTCTGATAGTTTGTTTTTTTTTTTTCCCCCACAAAAAAAGATTTGATAACATGCAGATAATATATTTCTTAAGCTATGTAAAGTAGGAGTAGCATTGTTACTGCTATGGTCATTCCAAGAGAGAAGCATGACAGGGTTCACAGAGACAGAAAATAAGTTTATTGCACTAGCATCAAAAAGCATCTTTCTCCCCACCTCCCAGCTCTATCAGTTGGCCTACCAAAAGGCATTACCCCATCATACGGGACTTAAACATCAAAAAGAACATTTTCTTGTAAAAACCCCAAATGTTCAAAACTCTGTCTGTACAGATCACATTCTTGACCCTGCTTTGACATTACAAAGCAAACAAAAAGCCAGAGAGCATTTTCAGATAAGGATTCCATGACATGGGTTTCCCTTGCACTGACCTACAACATCTTTTCCACAAGCTCCAATATCCGCCAACCTCAGCAATCCTGACCTTAGAGCCTCATTTCCAGCAGCTGCAAGGTTTGAAGCAGGATTTGATAGAGGACTTCAGCAAGTGAAACACATGAGCTGATGTACATTCTTTAATGGTGAAAATTAACTCTCCTTGTCATTCACAATAAATACACCTACTAAGGGCTTAACTTTTTTATTTATCATGTACAAGACTTGACAGAGCAGTACAACCAGAGTTTACCTCTGTATTATAGGATGATCAGATTGCAGCCATACAGCTAGGCCACAGTCCACCAAGATTTCCCTTTCAGAATGTTTGGATGGCCATTATATTCACAGAGGGACAGGAAAATCCACTGGTGATGGTGAGATGTCTGCTTCTCCCCCAGATCAGGAAAGTCCCAAGTTTAATGATGCCATGCCTCACAAAGCTCAAAGTACAGTTATGATCTGCAATAAATATCAAAATCTCCTAAATAAATGATTCGGAAAGTGCAGAGCATGGAAAACTGTGACTTGCTACAGAATTTTCAGTTAAAATCTGGTGAAAATGTGATGTCAATAGAGTATTATCAATCAGAGATGGGTGATCACTTCTCCAAGTATTCACAATCATACTGTATGTGATATGGTATGAATTCTGTTGACCTGGTCAAATTGCAAGTTTGGTCCTGAGTTTCGTTAAGAAAAGTCCCCTCCATCTACAGAAACATCATAATTCCGGAAACTGAACATAATTTATTTTTTACTGAGAATATAATTATATTGCTCCAGCCTTCTGTTAACACCTTTCATTTATGTGGTGATGTACATGGCTCAAGTCAAATGCATAGTTTGACACTGACATCATAAACGCTTCTTTATTGAGCCCTGTGAGTACAGTCACAGCTACCTGGAGGGTGAAATAGTATTATTAAGCAACATACAACAACAATACATAGCAATTTAACTGATTTACTTGTTTTCTAACAGTGCTGAAAGGGCAGTAAGGTCACCTGGAATGCCAGTGCAGGGCTTGATGGGTAGCTTTTATAGAGGCATTTCTTAATAACTTGCTATTCTTATAATAGCAATAAAAGTCTCGAATTGTAACAAATAAAGTAGCATTCTGGGTGAAATAATATTATAAAGTATGTTCCTTTGAAAGTTGTCTTTTCCATGTAACTTGGTTTTGGATTTATTTTTAACAAGGGGATTTGATATATTCTTCGACTGATAAAGGTCAAGGGTTCAAGAAACTCGGTCAAAGATGTTATCAGCTGGGAAAGCCATTTCCTCACATCAACACTGATAAAAACCCATCAGAAACCTGGCTGATACAACCCCTGCTCCAAAGAGCAGGAATGACCTTCTTTTGAACATCACTATAGTTGCACATCCCATCAAAGAAAATCTGATCTTGTGTCTCAATTCTTTTAATGACAGATAATTGCCTACAGAGCCCCCTCTGCCCAATGCTGAGTGAAGCCTTCACAATTCTGAACTGGACTCAGCACTGACTCAGGGGTTTTCAGCACACTTGGGACTGCAGGACAGTAGAATAAATAAACAATGCAACCAGCCCTACAGCCTGTCTTATCTCATCCTTGTGTTCACAGAGATTCTTGAAGGTGGTAATGTTTACAAACTGGTGAAATTTTCTTTCTTCTGCTTCCTGAGCTGTCAAAAAACATATCCTGGACAACCTAAGCAAGGAGATTACACAAATTGCTTATCACTTGTGGGAAGCAAGTCCCGTCTCATTGGCCAGCATACCTCTTTAATAAGCAATACTGCTAGTATTTTCACTAAATCTTACCCAATTCTCCTTACAGATCTATACGTGTATTTAGGGCTTTCCTTGTAAAACCCAAATGGCAAAACTCTTAAAAACACACAATTCACCTCTCAAAAAGCCTAAAGCTATGTATACACACACACACGTGTATATGTACACATATATCAGGAGCAAATCCAGCCTTTTACATTAGTATAGTATTTAGGAAACTCTACTCTTTGCCTTCCTCCTGGTACAGCAGCAGAACTAAATTCAGGCATATCAGGCAAGAGCCACCAGAGCATCTTCTGTCACTATGTAAGAAAGGAAGGTTCTAAGATCAGATTTCATGAGACCAACACCCTATTTCTCTCATTATCACCAACAAAATGTATCAGTGACACAGGACTGAATAGAAGCTGTTATAATGAAGTCTTTCTATTCACCCAGGATAGACACACAAAATTAGAAACATAACAAAGCCAATCTAGGTATTGTAACAGGTTTACAATATTTTTCCTTAGATATGCAGCAGAAGAAACTCTGCTTTAACATCCATAGGCCACTACCCTGCTGAACTGTGTGTCCTGGGTGAGTATCACAACATGCCTACAGACAAGCAAGAAAAAACAACATCTAAACACTCCAAACCCCACACTGGCACATTTTCAATTTTATAAAGCTGGACTTTTTTCCTTCCTTCAATACAGACCTCATGAGGAGTCAGACAAAAGGTTAGAAACACTGTATAACTGGAGACATGAAGCTTAGTGCTCTGTCAAACAAATTAGCCTTCAGTCTGAACTAAAGTGGCACTTGGGACACTTTGTGTCTTGGTCCTATACTTTGTTGGGTCAACAAATCAGATTTTTCACTCAAAGTTAAGATTTCATTTACTCACCACCAGTTTAAATAGGATAAACTTCTGAATCTTTACCAATCAGTTCTACTTTAACATAGCAGTCATCTCTAAAAAAAAAAATCAATAACTAATACAGAAAGGAAAAACAAAGTACAGAGTAAAATCTGTAAACAGGGCTAAAATGTTATTCTGTATTTTCCCTGTTTTTGTCATTTTATTTGCTTTCAGTGAAAGAAGTTTTCTGATGAAATTCTATGAAACTAGAATATGGTCCCTTTTAGAGGGGAGGGAAAAAGAACCTGAAGTCTATTAGGCCATGTTAATTTAACATGTTGTAACTCCTCCATGATAAAAAAGCTAGTAATTGATTACAAAACCCTGCTCATTTCTTCTTTATTTTTAAAATCTCTACTTAAAATATGAGCAAATGTGCCCATTTTCATTTATACAATGGAAACAGCCAGTATGGTTTAAGTTATCACCCGGTAATTTGGGCACATTAAACCCAATTCTCTGCCTTTTGTTTATTAATTCACTATGCCAGATATCACAGTTTCACTCAGCAACCCTCATGTTCTGGATGATATTGAAAAATGA